TGCACCAAAACAGCAGCAGAAAAGATCCAAAACTGCACTAAATTTACACTAAAAAAGTATCAAAACAGCATTGGAATTACGCCAAAACAGCAGCATCAGAATCACCTACCACGTTTTTGTAGAGAATACATAATTCTCAAAAGCAATAACAATGATCAAGAGATGAAAAACAATTCTCACCATAAGTCAGAGTTGATTCTCTGTCATTGTTGCACGCCTGCGCCTTAACGACATAGTTGCTTCCGAAAATTGATCAAGATTTTAATGAAATTCAGAAAAAAAAATTATTACAGGGTTTGATTTGAAAAAGAAAGGAAAGAGACAAATCAGAAGTCTGATTTGATAAGAAAAAATGAGCATAGAAAAATGACTTTTGGAGGGAAACTTTCTCACGTGCAATGAGAAGTGCTATTAAAATATAGATAAATGTTTGGAAGAGTATCAAAAATATACCAATTCTTGAAACATAAAGGATTATTAGTGTTTCATATTAAAATACAAGATAACTTTGACTCTTCACTCAAAGATAAAGGATAATTTTGATCATTTTCTCAAATTATAAGTAAACAATTTTTTAAAGCGCTCCTAGAAAGTAGTGAATATATGTATGTGACTGCACACATTTCAATTATAAGGCCATTTGATTTTTTTAATAATTAAATTATATTTAGATCATTAATTAATTAAGGTGACTATCTGTATGTGTCTGCACATGTTTCGAGTATAAGATCATTTAATTTTTTTAATAATTAATTTATATTCAGATTATTTAATTAATTAAGAAGTTAGCAGTTTTGGAAAATGTGCCTAGAAAGTGGTGATTATGGATTATGTGTATGCTACAGTTGATTGATTACACACATAGCAATAAGACAATAACTTCAAGTTTGTTTTCAATTATCCCATTATCTTCTCCAAATTATTTTCTCTACCATATCAGTGTTAATATATTTTTATATATTTTGTTTTTGAAAATTCACAACATTCCAAACCTGCATGTCCTTCATTCTCAGTGTTTTGTGTTTATTAAATTCTATTAACAATCATGAAGAGAAATCTGAAATCTCACATTTCACCTCGAAAAAGTCCTAGATTAATTAACAGTCATGGATTGAGTCAGCCTTCAATGTTCAATTTTCTGTCGCAGACACCTGAGAAGGATTGTTTGAAAAATAATGAAAGTGAAAATGTTCCCATTCAAATTAGTTCAACCAAGCAACACGACAAAAAAAAAAAGAAATGCAAAAGTGTTGTTTATACCTGGGAAATGGCTACTGCACACGTTTCTCAATAAGTCAATTTGAATTTTTTAATAATTAATTTATATTTATATTGTTTAATTAAGTAAAAAGTAAGCAGTTTTTTTAAAGTGCTACTAGAAAGAAGTGAATATTTGTAAGCTGTTTTTTTTTATAGAATTGATATCCTATGCTGAAGCACTAATTTGTTATATTATATATGATTCTAGTTTCTAAATATGATGTGCCGGGAACTTCGTCTACTAAAACACCAACACTGGATGATTTTTCTCCATTCACAGACACACAAATGGTTGCATTGGACCCAATACTTAATGAAACAGTGACACCTCAATTGCAAATGCGAATTAAAAATTCGGGCAAGTATGATACATCCCCATATGTGCAACTTCCTGAAGGTGGAAACAGTTGTGAAAAACGTCTGGTTTTTTCTAATGCTAAGCATCCTTTTGAAAAGTTTAGAGGGTTTGATTGTTTAGCTGATTTGATAAATAAGTTGGGTGTATCAGAATGTATCACAGAGACGAAATAGGTAATTTTAGCATTACATTATGATGATTTTACTCAATTTTTTATCAAGTAGCTTCCATACTGTGCATTTATATATATAAAAACATAATTGAAGCAGGAAGTCTACGTACATTGCAGTGTATGATAAGTTGAAGCCTAAACTTGATCTAGGAATTGTAAAAGTAAAGAAAATGACTTGGTTCCACATAATGGTTCATGATGGAAGACCTTGGGAAGATGAGGTATGTTTTCAAAATTTGATCTTCTTCATGTTTGATATTAATACGATGTTGTCTATTAGAAGGATATCCAGATTCACATTTTAATGTCATTTATTATTTTATATGTATGTGACCAATGAGTATAATAATTCAAAAATATGTGGAAATCTTATTATATATCTATTATATACAGTACTTGTGTTTTTGAAATCACAATAATTTATAAACTACAGTTAATCATATTGTATGCAATTAAAACTGGTCTCTTTATCAAATAGATGTAAAAAATGTTTTTCTCCATAGTGATCTTAAAGAAGATACTTATATGAAACCTCCACCTTATTTGTTTTCATCCCCTACATCAGATGTATGCATGTTGAAGTGGTCTTTGTATGGATTAAAACAAGCTCCTAGAGCTTGGTTTGATAAGTTTCGGTCTACTTTGCCCGGAAAATATTTACAGGTTCTGTTCTTCTTTTGGTGTATGTAGAAAACATTATTATCATAGGAACCGATTCTTCATTAATCACTAGCCTCCAACAACAACATGAAAGATCTTGATACTCTTACATATTTCTTGGGTTGGAAGTTCATAATGATGCTTCAGGTGTGTTTCTAAACCAACACAAATATACCCAGGACCTAATTTCTTTGGTTGGTCTTCAAGATTCCTCCTTTGTGGATACTCCATTGGAATTGAATGTGAAGTATCATCGTGAGGAAGGCGATCTTCTTCCTATCCAACTATATTTTGACAATTAGTTGGGAGTCTAAATTACCTTACAATTACTCGGCATGATATCTCTTTTGCAGTTCAACAAGTAAGTCAACATATGCAAACTCCCTGTCATCTCCACTTGGTGACTTTTCATTGCATCATTCGATTTCTTCTAGGAACATCTACTCATGGATTGTTCTTTCCAAGTGGTTTTCCTATTCGTCTTAATGGTTTTAGTGATTCTGATTGGGCGGGATGCCTGATACTCGTCGTTCAGTCACTGGTTGGTGCATATTTCTCGGAGAGTCATTGATTTCTTGGAAAAGTAAGAAGCAACGTCGTGTGTCAAAATCTTCAACAGAGGCTGAATATTGATCCATGTCTACTGCTTGCTCCAAGGTTGTATGCTTTGTGGATTACTTGCTGAGATTAGATTTCCTTAATCTCATCCTACTCCTCTCCATGCTGACAATATAATTGCTATTGAGATTGCTATTAATCCTGTTTTTCATGAGAGAACCAAACACATCGAAGTAGATTGTCATTATATACGAGAAGAGGTAGATGAATGAGTCACTACTCATTTACATGTGGCCAGTGATCTTCAAATAGCTGATTTGTTTACAAAATCTATGGCACGACAATGCCAGCAGTTTCTAGTAGGCAAAGTGATGCTTCTTGATCCACCAACATCAATTTTGTTAGCATAATGGACAACTGAATAATTGTATATATTAATGTAATTATATAGTGATATAAATTAGTATTTTTATATAGATTTGTTGTAGAATCATAGAAATAAATATTGTGATAGAATTGATGATTCAGAGGTATAACAAAGCAAATTTAGAGGGATCGAATAACAGATTTGTACAAATAGAATAACTGATCTTTAGGGATAGGAATAGCGGATCTTTAGGGATGTGCAATCTTTATACTTTCTATTTAATGGAAATACTCTCTCACTTTGAGAGGCATTCAACAGAAAATTGACAACACCTTCCCTCTTAAGAATATTCGTCCTCAAATGGAAATCAACATGACATGGCTAAGTCCTCAAGAGTTGCCAGAACTTCGACAGAGTCTCCTTTATAAATAGGACTATCCAAAAACCTGAAATGCAAAAAATTCTAGCACAAGTGTATATCAGAGTTATACAACATACAAACAAGATGCAACTCAATAAACAAATTTCTGAATCAAATAATAATTACAATAAAAAGTTTTGACCAAAAGAAGGCAACTCAATCTCGGCCTCTTCAATCTAACTGGCATACTCACTCTGGTGCTTGATATAGGTAAGGGTATATGGATCTTATATCCTCCTCGTCTTCCCATGTCATTTCTTACACGTTCTTGTTTCTCTACAAGGCCTTTATGAAAACCATATATATCTTTGGTCCCCAATTTGCGGACTTGCCAGTCTAGTATCGCAACTAGAGTCTACTCGTAGGACAACTCCTGTGAGATCCAACCAATATCAAGTGAGATAACTCGAGAAGGGTCATGTCTTATGAATTTTATGCAGCATATTTACATGCAAGATTGGATGAACAAACTCTAGCGCTCCCAAAGACAACTCTATCTCGTAAGCTACTTAGCCTTTGAGGATTCGATATAGCCTAATGAATTTTGGACTGAGCTTACCTGCAAATCTCGCAACGTCCTCCATAAGAGAGACCTTTCAGCAATACCCAATCATCAACATAGAACTTCAAGTCTCATCATCACACAACAAAATATGACTTCTGATAGCTCTAGGCTATCAACAATTGCTCTTGAATACGCTTAACCTGCTCCAATTAGCCCTAACTTACCTACCTCAAACCATCCAATGGGGAATGTGCATTACATAATGACTCACATCTACAATTTGAATGATAAATCTACTAGAAAAGAAGAGTATGTGGTAGAGATGCTATAAAAAGGTATGATAAAGGATAAAATAGGATTATTAAAATATAAGTAAAAATAAATGAAAAGAAATATTAAGGTAATGACGCAATCACATCAATTAGAACATTATATTTAAACTAACAATACAATGTAACACAATGGATAATAACCATCCAAACAAGGAGTTAGAACCCCATATAGAAATAGCAGTATCACCAGTATTAGACCATCTAACAAAAATAATTCCTTAAATGTATGCGCATGGGTGCGAAAATTGGAGGACACTATAACATTGAGCATTTGTCAACAATGGTCAATTTGGTCTTCACAACGTGACCTCCACGTTAAAAAAAGAAGCAGTATTGAACTTGCATTTACTTGATCTTTCTATGATGATCATAAATCTGAGAGCCATTTTTCATATCGTTGAATGTCTTCTGTAGAAAATGTGGGCTGTATTTTATCTAAAGCTTCCAACAAGTCATCCATCGTAGTTTTCCCTGATATCTCCTGTCTCATCCCATTAAAAGAAGCATCTCTATAGATGTTTGTTAGATCGTCTCCACTGTAGCCTTCTGTTCTTTGTGCCACTTGGAGAATATCTAGCCTAGGTGCTAACTGCATTCAATAGTTTGAATGAATAAAACTTTGATTTCAATAATATGCAAAACAATGATAGCTTACCTTGATTGATTTCAAGTTTATCTTTATAAGCTCCTTACAACTCTTAAATTCAGGAAGTGGGAAGTAAATCCTCTTTTCTAGCCGCCTCTTACAGTAGCATAGTGAATTAGAGTTGTGTAATCCATCGATCTGAACTAGAAGTTTAGACTTTACCCTTCGGGATTTTTCATGCTCTGTACCAGACCTGACAAATGACTTCAAAGTATTACAACTAAAACTAAAAAATTATAAGTTTAACAAAGGAAGTAATTTTTTTAATGCTCAAATTAATGTTAATTGTTGGGCACATGCATAAATGATATTGTGTGATGTATGAAAACACAAGAGGTAAGTGAAGTAAAGAGGAGCATGATCATTTAGTTTGAGTTTTATAGTTTACGCACTGTCGTTATATAAAAATCAGGCTACTTACAATACAAATTACAAAAAATTTATGATAAAACATTAATCGATGACATGATAAAGATAATAATTACATGCAAACTTAGACGCTTAAATAGGAAAAGTACTACATTATTTACTTACCCTCTGGCACTGCAAAGAGAATCAATCTCGTCAATGAAAATTGTAGTTGGAGCATAACTACGGGCAATCTCAAATAAGCATTGTGTCAATCGCTCTCTCTCCCCGTAACATTCTCCACATAATGAACTACAAGAAATATTCAGAAATGTTGTCCCACACTCTGTAGCAATAACTTTGGGCAAGAGTGTTTTAGGACCAAGCAAAAGAAATCCTCTCGAAGGTCTCCGGATGCCCTGAAAATAACATTCAATATTACAAGTTTCATATTAAGTATCTACTATTCGTTTGTTATTGTTCTGTGACTGAAAAATATCTTAGATCATTCAGTTTCAACAGAAAAAACTATTTCCAACTTATTTTCTTAATCACTTGGGAGGACCATATCCACCTCTGATGAATTGTTTTTTATGAGCAAAAATAAAAGGAAATATGAAGTGTGTATGGTATTTCCCTCGAAGCAAAATTCAGAAAATAATATGAAATATTTCAATTCCTTTCCATTTTTGGTTGGCCGATGTTAAAGATTAATAATAATGAAACTAGAAAATTTGGAAATATTTGGATGATTTTTTAAACATAATAATGTCTAAATGTGTTAGTTGAAGCGATTGATATGAAGATGAAAGCTAAGATAGTTATAAGGATAATGACATAATTTTCCTCCTTTTGAAACACCAGAAAATGATGAAAAATAATTTCCTGAAATATCACTTCCGTCATACCAAACATGCACCCATCCCTCATGCATTAGACTACTCTTATTCAGAATCAACAAATTATGTACAGTACCTGGAAATACGCAGGCATCAACGATGGCAATACCGTTGCTTCCTGTAGAATCCTCTTTGCTTCACTTAGTCTAGCAATATCATCCCATTTAACCCCTGAATTTGTGTCCAATATTTCCTTTTCAAGCCTATCAACTAATTCAGGATGAGGTCCATCGTACATTATTGTTGAATCAATGCCTTCTTCATCATTCTGATAGTTTTAAAGGAGGATGATAAGAATATTATAAAGAATACAAAGTATCAGCTTAGTATAAATAGAGTAAAGGAGCTTATGTGAGCTGTCGGTACAACCACTTCTCTAAAAGAATTGCCTAAAAAGGGATAAATGTTCTCAAATAGTATTAAAAACAAATAATGTATTTGTACTACTTGTTGCGTTGTATTTGCGAAATCATACACCAACCCAACATTGTTAATTCCTCCAGCCTGTAAATGATTCATGAAAAAAGAATTGTAATCTAAAACAAGAAAACATACAATAACAAATTTTTTTGTGAAAGATAAAAAATATTTAGGATTGTACTTTGTTAGAATACAATGTGTGATTTGAGTCTAGATGATGGGCCTGAAAAGCAATATTATAAAATGTTCTTAGAGACAAGATATTTGTATCACTTGTTTAGCGTGTTTCTATAATTATTTACCATCCCAGCACTGTAAATGTTGTCGATGAGGTTGTTGTTTGAAAAAGTAGAATTATGTGAGTAATTAGTTGCCACCAGACTTGCAACTTGTTTTTGTGCTCGTAATTGTAGTAGTATTTGTTGTACATGGTATGATTGAAGCATACACTGTTGTTGTTGTACTTGAAGTCCTACAACTGGGAGTGCTTGTAATGATACCACCTGCAAAATTATGCAATGTAAGTGCTCATATCACAAGTCTTTGTGACTTTAGAGTCATACTTTGTAATTTTCTATTGCAGTTAAGGAATTAATCCAATAGTAGTTTAACTCTGCAGACAACTTATATTGATAATTTAATAGATTAATTACATACTCCAATAGGTTAGAATACAGTGCGGGGTGTTTGGCAGGATCTATTAGAGAAAATAATACATATATTGGCCGTGTAATTATGTAGTTCTTAGTTTAATAGGATTTTCAGCAAACTATGGTATTAGGAATACAAGCATTACTGTTCCTCAATATACCAAAATATGGATAAGAAATAATCCAGGCATTACTGATCACAACATTACTAATAAACTCTATTTCGTATATTCTCATTGACGCTACCAAACAACCCCTCATAGTTTACAAAGTTTATACCATTCACTATCAAATAACAATGAAAGAACCATTTTTAACAGCAAGCAATTAAGTCTATTCGAATGTATAATGTACGACAAATTAAGAAAACCTGGTGCTGAATTGGGGTCTGAGTTTCGAGTGATGGGGTAGTAATAGTATTTGAATCATGATTAAGGTTACGAAGACCATCGGTATAAATGAGACTGAAGCCACTATAGAACAATCCTTTTGAATCAATTAGGACAGAGGGGTAAGTATCCATGTATATTTTAAGGAAAGATAGAACCCTTTGCAAATCGTTATTTAATGTGGGTTCAACGGCAATGATCCATCCAACTAGATCAGTAGTCCCTAGATCTTCATCTTTGTTCTTGTCAAACTTGTGGAAAATTATCTTCATCTACTCCTCTTTGCTTTTGCTGCTATTAGCAGGATCCACATCCACCACTTTTCCTTCAACAAACTTGTTAACACTAGCTATATATAATAATAATGCTTAATAAAATGACCAAGGTTCAGTTGAGAAATGAATAAACATGACTTGAAACTACATGTAACATGTATGGGTGGTTCAATTTTTAGGGCTATATATAAGAATTGGAGGATGCAATTGGCAAAGAAAGGGGCACATTTTTTTTAAATATTTTTAATGTTATAATTATAATGGGGAAAAATTTCTTGTTTCAGTCAAACAAAATATTTAATGAAGGCACTCAATAGTCGTATTTGTAATAAAGCAAATATAGAGATATTAACTACTATTTAATTTTTGAACTCATGTCCAAATGAATTGAAAGTTGCTTTGACTGTGCGTTGCTTATTCATTGCATGCTTATCCAATTGTATGCTTATTCAATAAATTTTATAATGGATATTAACAATAAAATGTATTTATAAAACTCCTCATTTGAAATATGTAATAGAGAAATGACTATAATTAATGATAAGTGTAAATTAGGAACTAAATATAAAATTATTCATTGATTTCATAAAGTGGACAAGTATTGTTGGACATCCCAAAATAGTATAGTGGACAAGTATTGTTGGACATCCCAAAATAGTATAGTGGATAACTATTATTGGACGGAGCGAGTACTATTTTTTAAATTTTGAACTGTTTGTTTGTGCGTTCTTAACCAATTGTATGCTTATTCATTTCATGTTTATCCAATCGTATGCTTATTCAACTATAAGCTTATTCAATAAATTTTGTAATGAACATTTACAGTATAATGTATTTATAACATTCCTCCTTTAATGTTCATTTAATAGATAACTTGTCTTAGTAAAGATCTTAATAGAAAAAAATCAATAGGAAAAGTCTTAGGAAATAAAAAACAGTGCACATAGTAATAAACATTTGTTAGTTGCCTCATTAAGAATCTTTCCAGAAAATCTAGCGGGATAAAATCTTAATTAAGGAAAAAAAAGAGTATAATACATATTTGACTTTTCCAAATAGAGACAACTATTCAGATTGTTAATCTTCGCATTCCAATCTTGTATACCATCTTCTTAATAGTTGAAGTTGGTACAAATTTAGCAAATAAATCTGTTGAATTATCACCTGAAAGGATTTGTTGTATATCAATATCACCGCTCTACTAAAGATCATGTGTGAAGAATAATTTTGGTGAAATATTTTCATTTTATCTTCTTTTATGAAGTCTCCTTTTTTGGGTCGTATAGACATCCTTGTCTTGAAATAAAACTATGGGTACTTCGGTAACATATTTTCAGGTCATATTTTTCTTTGATGAATTGTATCACCAATCTCAACCATACACATTCTTTACTTACTTCATGAATATTTATTATCTCAGTATGATTTGAAGAAATAACAACGTGTAGATTGTTATGATATAATAGTAATTTTGAATAAAAATAGATAGCCTGTTTGATATCAAAATTTATGTGAGCCGGATAAATAACCTACATATGCATAACCAATAAGATTTGAACTACCTTTGTTTGTTTAAAAGAAATTCATATCAATGGTCTCCTTTAGGTATCACAATATAATTTTAACTTTGTTTTAATATTTTTGTGTAGGTGTAAAATCATATCTTGCTAGTAAATGAAAAAAATATTGTGCATAATAGTTTGCAAAAATATCTCAAGGAAAAGTAAATACCGAGAGACTCCTCAAATCTATCTATCTATGAAGCCTTTATTACTCAAGATGGATGTCGGGACAAGACTCACGACATCTCAAGACAACTAACTAGAAAATAAATGTGAAATCCCCCGGAATGCAGGGAGGTTCACAAAAAGTAAGCTGAAGTGTAGATTGATCTCAATGAAGCACCCGTTGATGATCCTGAACACTTGTACTTGTATCATAAAAAAATGCAGGTCGAATGACATCAGTACATTCAATGTACGAGTATGTCATATAGCCGAAGTAAAATAATTGAATGAAAGGAGTGCGATAGATAAAATATGCTCAAGCGAAATGTAAAAAAATAAGAGTTAAATCTTTTAAAGTTTTACAAAATACTTACTCATCACTGAACTCAATATAATAAGTTTTATATGAAAATACACTTTAACTCTATTGGGAGATTCTCTAATAGATAACCATCACTATGAGCTATGTGATGATACAATGCCTACCAGAAATGTCATATATCGTGCCAGAATTTAGAACCTCTCAACTAAGTGGATCCACTAAACTCTACCCGAAGACACTAGGGATTCATCTAAGAAGTATGATCTTGTATCCATGTTGGCAAGACATGGTTTATGGGGGGCTGTGAGTTTTTTTGAACTCTCCTCCATGTCGGTGCTCAATACTACTCCCAATAATATATACTCTTACATAAATGTATAAAGCATACTCTTTCTATCATTTGAAATATTTGATCAAAGTATCCCCTTAAAAGAGGTAACTGCTCTGAAATATCTCTGAACTCATTGTTCATTAGGAAACAAGGTTTTGCTTTGCTCAAAGTAAAAATACATTCTGGGTTGAGATAATTACTCAAAAGGGCCGTATTAAGAGGTAACTGATCTGTACTCAATCTTTCTGAAAACTCTTTTAACTTTTCTCAAAATAATATTCTCTTTCTTCATGTAAAAATGAAATATTTGGAAAATACTTAGTTCTTGTAACACTCCGCTATTTGAAAGAGCTAGAATTAGAAAGAACCATTTTTGGAAAGAATAAAAATCTGAAATTTGGCAAGTATGTTAAGTATGAGTTTTAGGTCAACTTTAAATGACCATAACTCCTAGTAAAGGATGAGTTAGGTGGGCTACAAGATATCAAATGAAAGGTATTTGAATTATCTTTCCAACGTCACCGAGTTTGCTAATTTTTGAGTTCCTATGATGGAGATATGCCTATTTGAAGTTGGGCTATCTGGATAAGAAAAGTCAATCGGATTTTAGAGAGGTAATTTGGTCTTTTTATTACCCAATTAATTTATTCCATTTTTAGGAATTTATTTGGGGTCTAAACTGAGTTAGTTCAGTTTACGCAGTTTAGAATTACACTAGGGCTTTGAGAGAAGAGACAAGAGGAGAAAAGTCAAGGCGTTCTTGGAAATTTCTTACGGAATCAAAGTCGTTTCACCAAGGGTTGATCCCTAAAGAGGTATGTGAGACTTTCATAGCGTTGGATTCGTTTACCCACGCGCCAATCATGTTTGTTCCAGCGAAATTCGTTCGACAAATTTGAAAGTATGATGTTCTTGAAATTGGCTTTCGTTCTTGAGTTTAGATGAGATTGTTGAGTTCTTGATGAAATCATATCGATTTTAGAGTTGTATATGAGTAGGTTCTTGTGTTCACGTACTGGGTATCTGAATCTAAAGAGGAATTGAGAAAAAGAATCGAATTTAGGCGAATTGAGGTTAGAAAACAAAGAAGGAAAAAGTAAGGCAAATTTGGGTACCAGGTCCGCGTCGCGGACCTGTTCCTCAGGATTGGAACTTTTCTCTCCGCGTTGCGGACCTTTCTACCTCAAAATTTATTTCACGACCAAATATTAAAATGTATCTCCGCGTCGCGGACTTGCTTCCAGACAGTGATTACTTGATCGTTTCTCATGTTTAACTATCTATAAACACTCCTAAACATCATGAGATCTTTCCTATCACAAATAAGAACCTTGAAATCCATAAATCAAATTCAAGGTAGAGTTGAGAGTCAAGTCTTGAGGGTTCTTCGAGTCATTTTAAGAAGTCTTTTACAAATCTTTTAAACTTGTTTGAAGACTTAAGCATTGAGATTGAGAAAGAGAAGAGCCGAGTTCATTTTCTTTAAAATGTTATATGGGGACTATGTATTCCCAAAGATTAAATGTTTTCACATTTAAGATGATAGGAAACACCGATTTACAAATGAGTTTTCATGAGTAGTTTTCAGTTCCATCTCATTTAAGAGAAAAGTTTTTGAGTAATAATCTCGAACCACAGAGAACGAGTTATGTTTCTAAACATATGAGCTGAGTATTTTGGGAGTAGTATTGAGCACCGATATGGGGACGACTTCATAATAACTTAAGTCTCCATAAACCATGTAGTCAACGTGGGTAGAAAGGGTCATACTTTTTAGATGATTCCTTAATGGTTTTAGCATATACTAGTGGATTCCCTTAGTTGAGGCGTTCTATATCCTGGCAAGTTATAGGACAGTTCTGGCAGCGTGGGCGAGACGTTGTATCATCACATAGCTCATAGTGATGGTTGTTGGACCCAGTAGGCATCATAGGCCGACTGAACTTGAAAAGTAAAGGCAATATGAAAAGAAGGAATAACACAAACCGAAGTCAAGAACTAAAATCTAACTAACAAGGGAATGCACACAAGTGTACAAAGAACTAACTAAAGTAATCTATAAGCTAACTACACCTAACTGGGCCCCCATAAGCCCAGAAGGTACACTCGTGCGCAAGTTAAATAAAAACCCGAACAGACCCCCATAAGCCCGACGAGTACACAAAATAACTATAACTAAAGAGAATTGCATAAAAGAACCCAAGAACGAAGAACACGAATCAGAACCTCAACCCTAATTAGTAAAATCTGACAGTACGGAGGTCGGACCTCTAACCGAATGCTCACCAGAAGTACCCAAGTAACCAATCACAAATATCAAGTATATGAGGCCGGAACTCTAACCGGATGCTCTATATAAGTATCTGGGAAATAGAGGTCGGACCTTAAATCGGATGCTCTATAAAGGTGCCAATGTAGCTACTGAAAGAGTCCTAATCGATCCACACTCATAAATGTCCATGGAACGCCGTCCATACTTAGCCAATCAATGTAAGTCCTTGGAACCAAATCGAAAATTAAATTCAAACCACGAAGTAGAACTAGTGTCGCCGATGTAACTCGTGAAGCCGTAACATCGGGGAAAATAAGGATATCTATAGTCGGAGAAAGAGTATCG